ACGCAAGGGCATGTGATACACTTTTGGGGGTTGCAGGCTGGCCTGTACTTTCAAAAAAAATTACCAATTACTATTCTTCTATCTATCTACCTATCTATCTATCTAAATAGGCAGTTATCATTTTAATGCTTGCAATTAGATAGAGAGACAGACAGACAGACATCAATACCAGAATACCAGACCATCCTTGGGAAGACAGGTCCTCGCACTGCCATGGCAAGGTCTCCCCATGAACTTTCCCTCACAATGTTTAGAAAGACAATGCTGAGAGCTGGGAAAATAGCTCGGTCTGCAGTGTTTGCCCGAGAGCTGACAAACTAGGCTCCGTCCCGAGACCCACATGGTCCCAGGACAGCACTGAGTCCTGCAGGCTGTCCCGACTTCTGCAAGGCCACAGAGGCATGTGCATGCCCACACATGCAATTGACTTTCCCAGGACTGAGGTGACTCTAGAGGTTACCTGTGGTGCTGGTGTCCTGTCAGAGAATTGTTGACAAATATTTTAACTTCAACCTGTGAGCTTGAGTCACATAAGACGAAAGCATCGTTTCCCACACGTGACACACTTTTGGGGGGTTGCTGACTAACCTTTTCTTTCAAAAAAGAAATTATTACATTCGTTTATTTCGTGTGTGTGTGTGTGTGTGTGTGTGTGTAGATAAGAGGGTTGTGAGACACTCGACATGGGTTCCAGGAACCCAACACCAGTCCTTTGGGAGAAGAGCAAGTACTCTGAACGTTGAGCCATCTTTCCAGTCCCTAACAATTTTAAAGGAAAACACTAAAGTCCAGCTGTGTATAGCTTCATATATTTGACAGAATATTATACGGACAGTGTGTACCTCTGTAAAACAAAGTTAAGGAGGAAAGCAAAATTCAAAATAGAGCTAATATAGAACAATTGAAATGGACGTAGGAACTGCGGGGGCAAGGACTCTAAAGGCCACCACCGCTAACACACACACACACACACTGTAACTCACCTGAGCTTCAGAGATGGAAGATGTGGGGGAGACAGGAAGTTCCCGGCAAGTTCCAAGAGACCCTCTAACAAATAGCGGAGTCACCTGCGGGCTGACCTATCCTCCCAGATCGTCCTCTCGTCTCCACGCTGCAGTGCAGTCTGCATACCCACGCTTGCAGCTACACACACTTGTTTGGAGGGTGGGGGTGACGACACACAACAAAAACTGAGGAAGGAGAAAAGTGACTAATTTATACACCAAAAGCGGCCAGTTTGCGGGGGGAGGGGGGGAGTACTTTGCCAAACAGCGTTTGACTTTGAAGAGTGGAGCCTGCTTTCATGATGCACGAGTTGAGCTTTATTTGGGAGAGGAAAACACAAAAGGGATAGAGTGCAAACCCAAGGTCCGCCCAGCAGGGGCTTTGAGCTCGTGTCAATTTTGAGCCTGCATCTTGGAAAGGGACTACGGCGCCAGGGGAAAAGGGCGGCGACACCCCCAAACCCCAACTGTGGGTAGGAGCAGGGTGGATCCCTTCCCGCCCCTGCCCCAGAAATGCACTAGCGGAGCTCATAGGTATGCGGGGTCCTGGAGCGAGCGTTGGGACAGAGCGCGAGAACCACCTCTCCTACCCCGGCTTCTCGGGTTTCCAGTTTTTAAGCACCTATCAAGGTTGAAATGCTACATTAGCTGAGCAGAAACGTCTGGAATTTCGAGGAGGGCTGGAGCCGAACCAGGCAGGGGGCTGAGCCCCTGCTTCTCCCTCCAGACACTAGGGCAGCCGGGCCTCATCAGGGCACTCATGCCAGCGCCCTCTAGGCGGCACAAGCGGCTCAGTGTGCTCAATCAAAGGCACCGGCCCAGGTGGAAGCAATCTTGAAACCTTAGTTCTTCGACTACAGTCCGCCAGCAAGAGAGGAAGGAGTCCCTCCGCACACGGCTAAATTGAATTCCTCACCAAAATACATGTCCCAGGAGAGACGGCTCCGCATTACAAGCACCAACTCTTCTTCCACCGGATCCAGGTTCGATTCCTAGCCCCCGCGGAGTGGCTCCCTGTCTATAACTTCATTTCCAGGGGAACTGATGCCCTCTTCTGCTCTCACCACTAGAGAGACACATGTGGTGCACAGACATACATGCAGGCAATACACCCTATATATGATAAAAAAAAAAAAAAAGGAAAGAAAAATGCATGCCCCAGCACGTCTGCTCCTGCTGACCCAAAATGGTGTACAAAAGCATAAGGAAGCAACACGGGAGCGAGTCAGTGGTTCACAACCTCAATCACAGTGTTAGCGCCCCCTTCCGGCCTCCAGGATGCATATGGTAAACATGCCCGTAAAACACTCCTGCACACAAAATAAAAATAAATGAATTTTTTAAGCCTAAAGAATTCCTAAGAGATATGAATGCATGTGTCTATAAATGAACACTTAATTTTTTTTATATTTTCTAGTAAAAGAACTTAGAGGAAGTCAGGGGTGGTGTTCACACATGTAATCCCAGCACTTGGGACGCAGAAGGCTGAGGAAAGAGGTGTGGACGTGATAATTTTATTAGTTTTTTTTTAAATCTTGATCTACAGAAATATATTTGTTTAACAAGCACAATACTAAGGCAAGCAATGCTCTCAGCCCTTTGCCCATGATTGCTGCTTTCTGATACTAACTTTGAAAAGGCAGGTCAAACTAATGTTTGACCAAAATTAAGAATCATTTGAGGGGTTGTATGGAAACTTAATACAGTAGGAACTTCCTGAAACATGAACATGTATGAAGGTAATCTAAATGGTATCACTAAATAATGAGGAAGATAGAGCCCCAGTTGGGCATTCTCATCACCACATGAAGAGTCGTTCTGGGAATGCATTATATCTAACCAAATTTGTTGGTAAGGGGGCCCCAGGGGAATCCCCAAACAACCCAGGCTACTGCCAAGGCTACTGGCTGCTCTCTACAGACTGATGATAGGGCCCTGTCGCTGAGACAACACCTATACACCTCACTGGACATAGAGAAGTCGAACTGGTGCCTATATAGAGCCTTCACCCTTAGTGGGTGTTAAAAGATACTCTGCACACCACCAAAGGGAAAAGATAAACACCAACTGGTGTGGGAAGCCCTTCTGTGTATGTGTTCTTTTATTGGTTGTTGAATAAGGAAGTTACTTATGACAGGGCAGAGTAGAGCTAGGCAGGGAAACTAAACCGAATGCTGGGAGAATGAGGGTAGAGTCAGTGAGAAGCCATGTAGCCACCACAGGAGACGGAAGCCTCCACAGGAGCCTGTTGAAACTTTGCCAGTAGGCCATGACCTCATGGTGATGCACAGATTAATGGAGATACGGTGTGGGAAGTCCTTCTGTCTATGTGTTGCTTTTATTGGTTAATGAATAAATCTGTTTTGGTCAGTGGTTTAGCAGAATAGAGTAAGGTGGGAATTCCAAGCAGATAGAGGAGGAAAAAAGGCAGAGTCAGGGGGAAGTCATGCAGCCAATATAGGAGACAGACAATGGGCACTGGACTGAAACTTACCAGTAGGCCACAACCACATGGCAGTACACAGATGAATAAAAATGGGTTCATTTAAGATGTAAGATCTAGCTAGAAATACGCTTAAGCTTTTGGCTAAACAGTATTGCAATTAATATAGTTTTGTGTGTTTATTTTGTGCCTGGGTGACTGGGAAATGAGCCAGTGGGCTCCGCCAACAGAGATAGGTTAGTTTAGGATGTAAGAGCTAGCTAGAAATGCGCTTAAGCTATTGGCCAAACAGTATTGCAAACAATACAGCTTCTGTGTGATTATTTCAGGGCTGAGCAGCAGGGAATGAATGAACAGCCTCCAACTACAGATCGGCACACCAGCGTGTGCCAGCTAAATTCACATAAAACCTGAGAGAACTTGGAAAGGAATTCTAGACACACACACACACAAAGCTTAGCAGCATTCTTTTTCAGATAGGTTCTGTTTGTTGGTGGTGAGCAGGGGCGCCATGGTCTCCCTGGTTCAGCATGAGCATCAAAAAATGGTGCAGTGGCAGCTTCCTGGTTTGCCAGCACAAACAGCTCTGACTCTTTCGGGAGATTCGGCTATGGAGCACTTGAATGGCATTTGTGGGCCTGGGTGCTTGTATGCCCACTCGGGGTTAGGAGGAAAGTAGCTGAGACCATGCCCATGGCTCAGTGCTCCCCCCTCCACAGGCATGTGATGGGATCGAGTCTGCTAGGCCTGCACAAGCAGGAGAGCATGGCAGATTCCTGCCACCATACACAGAGGTATTTCCAGGCACACAGTGCACTGCATGGCAGATTTAGCTATTACTCAGATAAAAAGGGTTTATATGCTGCGTGATGCTACGCAGAGTTGAGGTAGTGAGGAGGCTCCCACACAGCAGCCCCAGAGGCGGCAGTGAAGTACCTCTGCCATATTGGAAGCCTGAGAGGCAGAGTGGCATCCGGGGCCACTGTAACCAAGCTGCTTACCATTGTAAAAGCTCCTGGTCTGAAGATAATTATAGATACACAATAAAGACAAATTCAGATGGAAAAGACCTCTAAATGGATCATGGTATTTGATACATGTACGTAGGCTTGAGAGGGAGAAGAAAAATATATAGAAGAAAGTAAAACAAAGTCTTTAAAAACACAGAGTACGGACAGTCACAGAGTAAAGGAGTAAAGATAATAAAATAAATATTAAACTTGCAGAAAAAGTAATGGAGTAAAGAAAAATAAGTCACATAAAGATGGAAAATACACAGAGAGTCTGGATTGTGTATATTACTGTGTTTTCTTTAAATTTTTTGACTACAGAGAGATATTTGATTCTGGGGACTGCTAAGCTAAGCCAACATATATATTTTGGCTCTTTTTAGTTTATTGCATGAAGGAGTTACACTCGTCCAAGTGAAAAGCAGACCCCAAATGGTTACATTATACAAGCTGTGAGGTTTTTAAACTTGTGATAAAGGACAGGAGGGAAATTCTACTCATTGCAAGGAAATCCTCACTTATGCTTCAGAGAGTCACAAGCACTTAAAACCCATGAACCTTCAGCTGATCGTCCTTAGCCAGCCCAATCTCTATTAGGAACTGGCATATGTTCTTGCGCTGGTCACCCTGTAGCTCAATTACTTCTCTATATTCTGGATGCTCAATTGCAGAACCATTGCAGGCAACTTTCTTCTTAAACACCTTCACTAGTTTCTTTTTGTCATATTCATCAGCAATTCCTTGGACAGTGGTAAGGGTCTTCCTGCCGTTTCTCTGTTGAATTCTTATATGGATATAATCCTCAGTGCCAGCAGGAAGCAGGTCAGCAAAGGGGTCGAAAGAGTGGAGGTTCTGAATAGCAGACATACGATACGATTCCTTTTCCTTGGTGGAAAAAGCCTGCAAAAGACGGCTGTGGTAGAAGGCAGGGGGTGGGTATGAAGCATCAGGAAGTGAGGGGGCTTGACGGGGAGGCAGCTGAGTCCTCTGTGACTGCTCAGTGACTCCAACATATATATTTTTAAAGGTAACTTGACTTCAGAATTTGAGTCTGAGGAAATGTTGCTTTGGAAAAGAGATTCTGCTTTTGTTTCTCTTTTTTTAATTTATTTATTTATTTATTAAAGATTTCTGTCTCTTCCCTGCCACCGCCTCCCATTTCCCTTCCTCTCCCCAAGTCAAGTCCCCCTCCCTCGTCAGCCCAAAGAGCAATCAGGGTTCCCTGACCTGTGGGAAGTCCAAGGACCACCCACCTCCATCCAGGTCTAGTAAGGTGAGCATCCAAACTGCCTAGGCTCCCACAAAGCCAGTACGTGCAGTAGGATCAAAAACCCATTGCCATTGTTCTTGAGTTCTCAGTAGTCCTCATTGTCCGCTATGTTCAGCAAGTCCGGTTTTATCCCATGCTTTTTCAGACCCAGGCCAGCTGGCCTTGGTGAGTTCCTGATAGAACATCCCCATTGTCTCAGTGTGTGGGTGCACCCCTCGCGGTCCTGAGTTCCTTGCTCGTGCTCTCTCTCCTTCTGCTCCTGCTTTGGACCTTGATATTTCTGTCCGGGGCTCCAATGTGGGTCTCTGTCTCTGTCTCCTTTCATCGCCTGATGAAGGTTAATATTCAGGAGGATGCCTATATGTTTTTCTTTGGGTTCTCCTTATTTAGCTTCTCTAGGATCACTAATTATAGGCTCAATGTCCTTTGTTTATGGCTAGAAACCAAATATGAGTGAGTACATCCCATGTTCCTCTTTTTGGGTCTGGCTTACCTCACTCAGGATAGTGTTTTCTAGATATATAGAAATATATTTCAATTAGATAAGTATTCTTCAAACCTTTCAAAGACTAATAGACTATGGCATTTAAAATTTAAAATTTTATTAGGACTTTTCATGACTCTGAGACACATCTGACCTTAGCAGCACCAATTACTTAAAGAGGAAAATGAGCATCAAAGAGGTTCCTTATGGAGTTTGTTAGCCATTTAGACAAGAAACTGCTCTTGCCTGGACTGCTTGATGTTATGCTGTATGAACCAGACATGCAGGACCCACAGAAAAAAATGACTGCTGAACTTGCCTAAAGGTGAGACAGTCCTTCAGGGTTCCTGCTTCATCGAAGAATCTGCCAGGCATTCTGCAGGACCAGAGAGGCTGAGGCCACTGTTTTGGTCCAGGCTGATATCAAACCCTCAGATCCTCTAAGAGGGCAAGATGAAGCAAAGCAAAAATAAATAAATCAGACAAAAATTCTATTCCCCTAACAGGAACAATCAACAGGTGTGAAGCTTTCAAAGAAAGAAATCTTCAGAGTCACTAGGTAAATCTGAGCACCCAGGGAAACCATAAGAACGATCAGGAACAGCTCAGGGGCATGAAACAGAATAGGTTAAGAGATGGCATGTTGTTTCAGCAGCTCTGACCAGGAGTTTGTCCATTGACCACCAAGCCTGAAGTTTCATCCCAAAACCAGAGGAGCATCTACCAATCACTGTGTACTTAAGGGCTGGGGCTCTCACGCCTTCCCCTCCCCCACCATGCCCCCTGACTAACTGGCAGACCCCAAAACACCAGTCTGTCTGGGAGAGCCAGACTTAAAATTTACTGCAACCGAATGAAGGTGTGAGGTTCGCAGATCTGAAGCCAGTCTGCTGAGCCGACATGATGCAATTTAACCCAAAGCCTTTTATTTTTTTTAAGGAACACTAAGGAATGTAAGTAACTGGCTTGTTGAATGACAGGCAAAAGCCTCTGAGATATTTTTCAGACAGATGGTAGTGGTATCTCATACTCCATCATGAGCGCTTTTAACTGAAGATGGAGATCATACGTAGAAGGAGCTGATTGTTTAAATACCACTGCCCTGCCCCAGAGTCAGATGAACACGTGTGCCCATTCCACCCCACGCTCCCTGCTCTGCCCCAGAGTCAGATGAACCTGTGTGCACACATTCCGTCCCATGCTCCCTGCTCTGTGAGCATTTTCACAGTTCTCCAGCTGTGGGCACCAGCCACAGGTTAGCAAAGCAAATAGCATATATCAGTTCAGTTATTTACATATTAATTACTTGCTTTGTTTGTTTATTATGGTGCTGGGAATTGAACCAAGGCATTGGGATAGGAAAACTGTTCTTACACTGATCATCTTTCTTTGTTTGCTTATATTTTGAGTCAGAGCCTTTACCAGTAAAAAGCCCAAGGTGACCTTGAACTCTTCCTCCTCTGAGCAGCTGGGATTATAAGCATCCACCTCCACTCCCAACTTTTAAACTTAATTTTATTTATTTTTGAGACAGAATCTTTCCCTGTAGCCCAGGCTAACCTGGAATTCACCATGTAGCCCAGGCTGGTCTCATGCTTTCTGCAATCTTCCCTGTTTTGGCCTCTGAAGTGGGATCATAGGACTAAGCCACCACACAGGGCTAAGCATTTTAAATTAACCTGTGCACTAGCCGGCTTATCTTCCATGCTGCTCGGGAGAAACTAAAGGAAGTTTTGATCTGTAGTTAAGAATAACATATCTTTAAACAATATTTTTTTAGATAATCTTCCCATGTAGCCTAGGCTGGCCTCAGCTCCTAAACCGCCTGCGTCAGCCTTCCCCGGGCTGAGATTTTAGGTATGTGCCGCCTCGTCCAGCCTAAACCACACCATCTTAAGAGGACTACATGGGTTGGATATGTAATCAAGTAAACCAGCATGGAGAAGGACTCACCCTGAGCTAACTGATACTTTCCCCACATAAGCTGTTGTGTTCAAATTGCTTTTCAACATAAAGAAACAATAACAAGCGCAGGCTGGGATTTATAAGAACCGATACGGTTTCTAAGTGCTTTATCAACTGTCCAGTGGAAACTGCTGTAAGAAGTCCACAAAAGACCCTTGTCCGGACTGAGCCTTGGCTTGCGCTCTGCCTCGGTTATGGTCCCCAAAGGGCAGGCGTTAAAAAGGCTTCCCGCAGGGAACCGCTGAGGCTTTTAAAGTTCCCCCAGCCCGCTCATCACTCATCACCAACTCTCTGGGCAGGAACGACACTTGCCAGGTTTTTTTTTTTCTTTCCCTCCCTTCCCACCTGTCATCCAGTCTCCCCTGGTATGCCAGCCAGGACCACGGGCACTCTCAGCTTGAATGACCGAGTCGTGTCTACAGCCCAGAGTCTCTCCTTCAACCCAAGTGGCCACCGACAAGTTGGAGTCTCCCAGAAAAAGAAACCCCAACTCCACAGGCAAGCATCAAACACAGCGCGGTGTAACCGCTGAATACACCTCATCCTTCAGAACAAGTGACACACTGCCTGTGCGGGGAGGGGGGGGAATACAAACACTGAGAGCGAGGAGAACGGCTCAGGGCCCCTACCCTCCGGGAGGGAGCGAAGGGGGGCCTACCCTCCCGGAGGGGGCGGAGAGCAGGGACGGGGGCCGGGACTTGGTCCACCCAGGCGTGCTCAGGAATTCCAGGCAGAGATGCTTGGCATAAGTAAGTAAGTGAGTGAAGGGAGATCTAAAGAAAGCCCTCACATTCATATTCATAAGCTAAACTGAGTTAAAAATAGACTCAAGAAGGGCCTGACTTCACTTTTAATTTTAGCCTGGTGATCAGCATGCCCTAAAGACAGAGAGTCACCAGGCATTTTCCTGAGTGCGATGATCTTCATATTTTTATAAAAAGGAAATGCAGCATGTTCTATTAATAAAAGTGCTGTGCCCTCAGTTAAATCTGGACAGTTCATAAATCAAGGCTCCCTCTGGTCTCACCTTCCTGGGCCTACAGTTTGCTCACACCCAAGCCCCCCACAACTGGGCAGGTCACATGTGTTGGGAGAAAGTAGCTCAAGGTCTCATGTCACTGGGTCTGTTATCAGTGACAGGACTCCTGGGCACTTCCCAGGTGACCAGCGCATGGGCCAGTATCTCTTAAAGGGCACGTGGAATCGTCCCCATGGCAAAGGTTTCAGAGCCCTGTGTGACTGGGGTTAGTGGGGGTGGCAGTGGGGAATCAGGTAATATTCTAAGAGGGAAACGGGGAGAAAGGGGAGAAACTGCTGCCTGCCTGGAAATGGTGAGCGGCTGCCTCGTCCTTCTAACCCTAGGGAGGGCAATGTCGCTTTGATCTCCAGTTTCCATGCTCTTTACTTCCCACCCACCCACCTGGGGACCGGGTAGGAAAACTGTCTCCCTCAGAGTGCTAAGCCATAATTCCACACGTAGGCAAGTAAGCCCAGGAAGGCTAGGGCTGAGTATGTCCAAGTCACAAGCCACTTCCAAACACGCAGTTCCCAGGCAGCTTTGGGATTCTCCAGGTCCTTGTGAGCTGTGTTTCTACATTTAAAAATATTATCCTTTATTCATTTATTGGGTAGTGGGATATATACAAGTCCCAGCTGGCCTCAGAACAACTTGTGGGGTCACCTCTCTCCAACTACCATGTGGGTTCAGACTTGCCTAGTCAGGCTCCATGGCAAGTGTCCTTTCCTACCGAGCCATCCCACCAGGTCCCACCTGCTGTCTTTTATTTCTGGAGAATTCAGCCTTCACCCTCATGCACTATTAAACATAACAGGGATCATTTCGTGCTGTCCTTCAGACAACTGAATGAGGTAGACTGAAGAAACTGAGATGCAGAACACTGGCCTCAGAAACCCCCAATTTAAACAATCTGGCAAAAATCTAGGCCCAAGAAAAGTGTAAGTTCTGCAGAACTATGGAGAAACGCCCTGAGCTGTGGAGTCTGAGAGGTGGGAGTCAGAACCTGTGCCAGTCAGTCCTAGCACTCAACTGGACAGAATCCGGACTCACCGGGGAAATGAGCCTCTGCCCATGCCTGTAGGGGTTATCTCGGCCGCGTGTGTTAACTGGTGTGGAAAGATCCATCTGAA